AGAATTCATCTGAGTGGGTGATCATAGTGACAGGATCAGCCCCTTTGTCGGACAAAGGTAATGATCGGGGATGCACTCTCTCTGATGGAAACCAAGACTGCCGGCAGCCGATTTCAATCGTTGTGATTTGTCTTGCAAAATATATTTTATATGAGATGTAAAATTATATATAGTATGGTTTCTAAAATGTTTGCAAAAGGTTTTAATTCCCGGGATCCATATAAGCAGAGGGTGCAACACTGTTCCTTGCAGCTGAGGGAGAGGTCATCTCTTCTCGGGCAGTGTTTGATCATTATGGGCTGAGAGATTAAGTGTAAGACCATTAAGGATAATACCTGATGGGCTAATCTTGCATATGCCCAGTCCTTGGGTGTTACAAGGTGACTTGGCCCAGGGACCACTTAGGGTAATTGTTGGGCCCATAGAGCCCATTTGATGGGTTTCAGGGGGTGCACTGTCCATAACAGTGTATTCAGCCAGGCCTTGTAACAGAGGCTGGGCTAAACCCATGTGGCTAATGTGTAGATCAATGCTTGGGTCTCACGCCATACAAAGAAGCCCAACTGAGGAGTAGTTAGGAAGGCTAAGTGAGCACATAACCCTAATGGGCCTTAAGCCCATTTCGAATTGGGCTAGTTTAAGCAGTTAAATTAAGGGGGCAAATTCTAGGATTGGATTAGTAGATGGGATTGGGTCTGAACCCTATCCACTCAGAGAGACCAGATCTAAATATGATTCAGATCTAGAAACCTCCTAATGAGATTAGGAGAAGGTTGATCCAATATGGAGATAGAATAATGGTTTACCCTTATCACTTAGGGAAGTCTGATCCAAATATGATTTGGATCAGCAACTCCTAATGAGATTAGGATGGTCCCTTTAAGGTTATAAAAGGAGGAGGGGACGGCAACTTTTAGACACACCACAACATCACTACAAGTCTTTAAAGCTAAGATCTCAAGAAGAAAGAATTCAGCATACATGCGGAATTCTTTCTTGTCGCCTCCTTCCTGCAGCCGCCTCATCTGCCAGCTCGACCTCCATTCAGTAGGAGATATCAAGATTCAATCTTGATATCAGTTTCTTGTGAAGGGACTGGTAGAAAGCAGTGCTCACGTGCCATCCCGCTATTTCTTGCGAAGGACTAGGTTCTTGGAGAAGAACATTGTTGATTCTGCTCCATCCTACACTGCGCCATCTTCAGTGGGAGCAGTTTTTGAATCCTTCATTGGGCGTGAACACCTTCATTAGGAGATATTACTTCTTCGTATCAGGTATAATCCTCTCTTACTGCTTTTGTTCAGATCTAGTTCAGTTTATGGTTCAAGATTGATCCTTGAAAATATGATTTTTTAAATAGGGAATACGATTCCCAGTTGAAAGGGAGAAAAATTTTTGAAATTCGCCCACCTTATTCCGCAAGGTTTGGGCGTCCATACGATGGATCTCTCATCCCTTCAGAGAGGATAAGTCTTATCCACTTAAAGAGTCCAGATCCAAACAAAGATTTGGATTAGAATCCTCCTAATTGGATTAGGAGTGTTGATCCTTAAGGCTTATAAAAGGAAGAGAGTGAACTGCTCCAGTTTAATCACATCTGAACTCAGTTCTCTCCTTTTGCTTTTGCCGCCCAAAACCCTAGTTCGTTCTCCATCTTGTGACTGATCTTGATCAGTCGAGGTTTTTGATTTTGCAAAAAAAAATCAGATTCAATTCGTGCTCACCTCCCTTGCTCGATCAAAGTTGTTGGATTACAGTTCTTGCTAAAGGACTGTGTTGCTGAACTGGCTTCAACCTAAGCCGTGCAATCTTCAGTGGAAGATGGTTTTGATACCCTCTTTCGGCGTGAACTACCACTTTGGGAGCTACACTTGTGGATTCCGTATCAGGTATGCTTCTCCCTTTTGGTTTCAGATCTGGTCTGGTTTGGTGCAAGAACGATCCTTGAAAAATGCAGTTTTTATAAAACTGTGAATACGATTCTTGAAAGGGTAAAAGAAAATTTTTGAAAATTTTCCCAACCATCTAACATGGTTCAGCCATCCATATGATAGATTTCCCTTTCCTTAAAGGTCACATTGCCACACATTGACAAAGATGGTGCATTAGATGCTTGTTAGTCATTRTTCATTTTGCTAATAGATGTAGTTATGTCTGAATGTCATACCTTGTACTAATGCTAGGAATTGATTTGGCATTCATATTCTATTTATCTGGACTATTAACYCATTGCAGGGGACAATGATAACTTGTCATATTTTATGTAAAAGAGTTACTCCATTTACTCACCWAAGCTGCGCACAGAATCATGAATGGAGTATACTACTATGCTTAGTGATTAGGCATATACTCCTAAATGAGCTGCCGTATTCATTTTGGAACTGAATTTTYGATAGGTTGAATTTTATCTTTTGTAAAATTCAGTTTCTCTCAAACCAGTTTWGAGGTCAACACTCTGACACAATTTGGTTTGATCTTTTATTTTATTGGTTTTCTTCATGACTTTACACTAYGAAACATAGCAAATTACAGAAAAATGTCCTCTAGATGTGCAGGACTACCTCAAGACCTTTTATGCTTTCTAATATCATTGATATTGCTTTTGAATACCTGACTTTTATCTGTTTCTTTCCCATCCATTGCCTGATTTAATCTGTAACTTTTCTTCTGGCTGCTGGATGAAAGTAGTTCTAATAGATGTAGTTATAGCTGGATGTCATACTTTGTACCATTGCTAGGAATTTGGCTCAGATTTAGTCATCTTGATCTGTAGATCAAGAATATGGCTCAAAACTTTACCCTAGTGATTTCTGGATACTGCTACTCCAAAGTCCAAATGCACCTGGGTTCCTTCCAATAGAACTTCTGCCAAATTTGAGTTTGATAAAATGGATGGATGGAGACCCCCATTGTAAAGGAGGTATTCCTAACCAATGGCATTGACAACAGGAAGAAAGTTTCAAGAACAAAACACTACCATGAGAGTAAAAGGCTCAGAAGCTCCTTTTCTTTCTTAAACACACCATCCCATGGAAAATTGTTATTGGTAACAAAATTCCTTACTTAAGAAGGAAGTAGAGGTGATTCATGCTTGGTTATTGCTGAGGGGAAATGAAACTAATAAATTTGAAGGACAAGTGATGATTTTGCATAATATGGAAGAGAAGAAACCATCATATTGGGTTTAGTTTAGATGAAAATACCTGCTCAATTTCTGTTTAATTTTTCTGAGTTCTACTAGATTTGGATATTATGTTTCACCATTACACATGGGATTTTATTATGGGTTTATAGGAATTGGGATGCATTGTGTCCGAATTTGCTATCCCAATGATTGATTAGTATTCGACATGTTTCCTTGTGGTTTTTGGAACTGTTACTTGCTTCCAATTTCCAACAACCTAGATATTTGGATGCAGGAAAGAAATACTTATACTGTAAGTTTTCTTAACATCCTAATTAACTAACCATATTGGAGTATTAAGAGACACAACAATGAAAATAAAGGAGTTCAAATCCCAATTCCCAACTTTTACTTGTTAAAAAAAATAAATAAATAAAGAAACAATTACAAAACTAGGTAATTAAGATTCATATATTGGAAATAAACTCGACATAGAAACATAATTGTATGCTTCAAATCCCAATTCCCAACTTGGAGTATTAAGAGACGAACGACCAAATAGTGTTTATATATAGGGAAACGAGTTCAAGTATCACATAACATGTTGTAGTACTTAATGTCAACATCAAATTGGTGAAAGCCCAACTCCTTTATTATGATCGATGTTATTCTGAGCAACAAGGAACCCTCAATAGCAGTCTTGAGGTAGAGGAAGGAATCCATGATGCAGAGCTGCACGCCAAACCTTCTCTACATCAAGAATTGTGTCTCCGCATTCATGTGCATCCAATCCCTCCAGAGCATGCACAATTCCTCCTATTCTCCATGCACTCATCACCCTTCTCGGCAGCCAATTCTGTGAGAACCATTCATTYATATATATGTCAAGAYAGAAGAAATTAATGGTTATTCTGTCAAAAGTAAAGCAAGAGAAGGAGCACAAACCTCACAAGAATGCACGTTCTCAAAAGCTTTGGGGATGGCCATGGCTGGTGTGTTGTAGTAAACACAGTCCTTCCGCACCTTCTTGAGTGGAAGTTGAGACAATGGAATGAAGTATGTCCCTTCAACTGCTTTCTGCTGTTCTTTATCTGTCATTGTTTCATTATCCACCAACCATACCTACAATGACTCCATAAATTATCATTAATTTCCAAATGCATCTGCTAAGCTTCTCATCAACAGTAAACTTTCTTTACCTTCTGTTTATAGCTACTTGAGAGGATCAACAAACTTGACAACTCTGCAGGGAGTTGCAATTTAAGCTTCTCAAAATCGTCCTTGCTTGCTACAGCTACCTGTTCCATTTTAGCAATGTGAGAGGACGGAAAAACCATATATGATGTCTAAGCCTATATTTTACCTACTTGGTGAAGATTTAATATTGGACTAACTTCCTATTTATAGCTAGCTAGTTAAATTTCATTAGCTGCCCAAATTAAACCTCACATTGTAATGCCAGTTTATTGGAATCAATTAATCTTTAATTTTTTCAAGAGCTGAAATCACTTGATTTCACATTCAAAATTAATCAAATGCTAGCATCAATTAGAAGGAAAGAATGTACCTGGATTCCTCTTCGGCATAAAAGCAAGGAAATGGCTGAAACTACTTTAGAAAGTTTCCCCCTTATAAGTACTTGCTGTGTTCCCTTTGGAATGCTATTAAGTACAATAGCAACCACTAAGCTACTACCATCCACAAGCTTGATCTTGAGTTTTGGATGTCTCTGAACATAGAGTTCGCCATTTCGATTCAATTCCTCTCCCTGTCAATTACGAAATTATATTAGTGGTGAGAGAGATGTTGGAAAATAATACAACTGTTAATTCCTTTCTGTTCAATGAGTAGAAGAAAACCCATACATCCCACTTGAACAAATGAAGGAGAAAAAGCAGAAACAAAACAACCAACAGACCCATTACCCAACTTAGTGTTTGTTGCTGCTATCTTAATTACCTGACTTCTATTATATCAATAGCAATAAATTTACTTAATCAATGCAGCAAATTTAAGGGGCCGTTGAATAACGGCTGAAGTGGCTGAACAGAATAGTTTTCTTGTACCCCATTTATACAAAAGAAAAGTAGTGTAGGATATCTGGAATTAATCCTGGGAAATTAATCAAGCCTAAATTTGAAATAAACAATGGTTTTTTATTTTTATTTTTATTTTTTTGTAGAAGAAAAGAAATGATGAGAAAATTTCCTAGCTGTAATAACAAAACAATAGAAAGCACAACTATTAGCTACTTGCCTGGTTTAGAAGACCTAAACTCATCACCTTTACTCCCGCCTCATTAGCCTCTAGTATGGCTTTCTCAATCAAAGTATTGATTGCATTTCTTTTCCAGGATAACAAATACTGTAATAACAAAATTTGGAATTAATTATTTTGCTTATTTTTAAAAGATGAAGTGTACATAATCATCATTTTTTTAATAAAATGAGTAAAAAGAAAAAAAAAAGAAGTGAAGAATATGTACATTAATTTCTTACTTGGTAACTGTATCTTGGTATAGCCCATGTTTGCATCTTGAGTTCATTGAACATATTCCTCTCCACAGTAAAGGTGGAATCAAAGATCCATGTCAACAGCATGGACCCATATGTCACTGGCCATAACATCCACATATACCATTTTGAAGTTGAATCGTAGGGGTATGAAGCCAATGAAGCAAATCCTGGCCGTAGATAGTAGATGGATTCTAATGTAGTCAGATGTGTGAGATGGACTATGTCTGGGGTCTCTTTCTTTCCTTTCACAGAGGCTTCATATAGTGTATCCGAGGTGTCATCCACGGTACCGTACATGTAATCGTACATAGGCATGAAGAGACAGTAATTGGTCCGGAATTTGGTGTGATGAAGAGAATGAAACCTGTTGCATAGAACCTTTGAATTTCTATTATGCTACTGCTTCTCTAATGCATGTATTTAGCATTTCTAAATCAAAATCACAAATACGTCTCCAAAAGTCCAAAGCAGTATAACATATTCGAATTCTTGCCATCTGGCCTGGTCTAAGAGAATAATTATCTAAGTACTTTAAAGGAATTTCTCATTTGGCCATTTTCTTGCATCAGATGCAATCTAGGAAATGGAATTTCTTGGAGAGAATCCTCATCATGACAGTATAATAAAACTTCGAATACCTACACTTCTGAAACCAACCCCTTTGTATTAGCATCAATTCCCAGGAGTATCACAGTGTCACTGCTCCCAACTGTATGGTGAAGTAAAAATTTGTGAATTAGAGGCCAAGGTTTCTCACTTGTTCTATGAAAACAGTGATTTTCTCATACTAGAACTCCAGAATTAATAAAAAAATAGTGGTTCCTATATGATCTTAGGTATTTGGACCAATGTTTTCAACTGTCTTGGATGCATGGTCACTGTCTGAATTGTCACCCGGTCTTATTTTTAGGTCTGGTTTTCATAAAACCTAAAAATTGACAAAAAATCGTCGGCTTTGTCAATTCAACCCAATCATTGAGTCATGTGTTACACGGTAAAAATGTGTTGAAACTTACGGAGTCCATAACTTTGCTTTTGGTTGTTCAATTGGGGTGATTTTGTTTTTTATTTTGGGTAAATTTTGGAGATATATGTACATGCCAAGCCTATTATTTTTGCCAAAGAACTATGTTTATTATATTTTTTATTTATAAAAAATTTAAAACTAAAATAAATATATAATATATGTACATATATTATATCCTCTCTCTCTCTCTATATATATACTGATCTCAGCATTTCATGGTGAAATAAGAAATAACAAGACAACGCTTTCTTTTCTTTTCTTTTTTTTTTTTTTTTAATTGTTTTAAATATTTATTTGATAAGATGGCTTTTAACATCCACCACGAAGAAAACAGTACCTACAACAGAGTAGGAGCGAAATAAAGCTCAGAATTAATAGCATATATAGTAAACTCATTTATATCACCCACCTGCTTTTTGTAGAATCTGGTATCCAACAATACTAGTCATATCACAGTATTGCCACTTGTCCTAAACACATGAAATTTGTGTATTTTGTTTTAATTTCAAAACTACCATGCCTTAAGAACAAGTGGCATAAATATATGATATTCCTAATGTTGTTTTCAACAAGCATATTTGGTTGGGCGGATTCGAAATTTCATTTCCATTCTTAGTAGAATGGTATTCCTTCATTTGAGAGAATAGTCATGCATTGCCCCTCTTTGGGGAATGAAATCTCATTCCTGTTGATTCCTATACTCATTTTTGTATGAACTAAACAAACTATGAGAATAAACTATTTCGATTTTGATTTTAACTGCGAACGAAATGAACCATTGAAAGGATAAGATGATTAAAAACTGAACCCATCTGAACAAACCTAGTAACAACTTTAATAAGTGATAAAATGAAAGAAAATAAATTAAGATGGTTTCATCACATATAGAGAAAACGAGTTCAGATCAGCTACCAACATATGGTCCCAACAACATCCCACCCAGCCATTTCAGCTGCACATTGGGAACATCTGCCCATGAATGACAAGGAAGATGTTCTCAATGTACAACTGAAATGGGCTGTTGGGACACCATTGGGAGCACTTTGTTGGTAGCTGATTCCTATCTGGGGAGAATCATCTATAACATCTAGTGATGCATTATAAGTTGAAAGCGGCTAGAAGAACTAAGCTATGTTTGGTTTAAAGGAAAAAGTAGGGAAAGAAAGGAAATGATAGAAAATTTTTTATAAATCTTGTGTAGATTCCCTACCTTTTCTTTCATTTCTCTACTTTTTCCTTCAAACCAAATACAGCTTAAGGGTTTAAGGCTAAAAAAAGGATGGATTGAACTTGTAAGAAATGATTTAATGGCTATAGGTTAACAATGCATGAGCATGACATTGGACGAATTATGAATTAAATGAGATTGATTCATGTAACTGACACACTTGGGACAAGGCTTAAATAATGATGACACATAGCCTAAGAAAATCTGAGGCTGATGATAAATGTGAAAAAGATTGGTTGGAGCAGAGTATCCACACCATATACAAAATGAAGACAAATTATCAAGTCCTTATCAAGTCCATCTGTCCAATGTCCCAATAAGGACCGTCATAGTTAATTGTCCTTTATATGATAAAGATAATAGTAGAAGTGGTTTCTACAATCAACTATTCGATCAGAACCACCATCCAATGGGTCCCATCTAAAGGCTAAAGTTCAATCCGATGGATGACTGTAACCCTAACCCAGTAATTTAAAATTACTACTTGGACGATGGAACCTAAATGAGAACTGTGGTATGATAACAGTGTTCATGTACAGTTGCTGTGACCATCGTTCCAGCATTTTGGTGTGACGCTTTAAACAGACATATATCAAATGTGAATGATTCAATGATAAAGTGACATGTTTCATTGGCATTTTTAATGTGATTAATAGTAAATTAATAACATATAAATGAACCATGTGACATTAATTTTTAGGAAAAATTTTCAATTAGTACCTTGTATTTTGAGCTTAATGCCATTTTAGTCCCCGAACTTTAATATGTAACAATTCAATACCGAAACTTTTAAAACGTGGCGATCTAGTATTTGTCGTTAACTAGCTGTTAATCAGTCGTTAAGTGACATTTGAAAAAGATATAAATGTCCTTCAAGTATTATTTAATTTTTCTTTATCAACCATTTAAATGTTGACAAAAAATTAATAGTCCTAAATACTTGCCTTTTTTATTCAAGAAAATTGAGGTCATGCTTGAATGGGTATCCTGGTGACCCCAACTTTCTTAAATAGAAGATGCAAGGATTTGAGTTGTTAATTTTTTTTTCAATATTTGGATGGTTGATAAAGAAAATTAGACGACACTCGAAAGGCACTTGTATCTTTTTCAAATGTCACTTAACACTGGTTAACAGTTATTTAACAGTAGGTGCTGGATTGCCATGTTTTAAAAGTTTGGATACTGAATTGTCGCGTTTTAAAGTTTGGGAACCAAAGTGGCACTAAGCCCAAAATACAAGATACTAATCTAAAATTTTCCCTAATTTTTAATATAATTGTTTGAAATCTTTATATAACTTCAAAAAAATGAAATACATTAAACTTTTAAATACTTTGGTGTTTTCATGACTCCATGCATTATAATGGGTCACGGGTTGCATGAAAGTGATGCGACTGTGGTCATAATAAACTCACAATAAATGTGCAAAGCCACAGAGAAACTTGGGAGAAATCAAATTCATCAAAATTCACAAAACAGAAAAATATTCGTAATCTTAATTATTGTGTGAAGTTGGACTTACGATGGAGTATAGACGAGATACTTGAGAAGGGGGAATAATTCGAAGAGGCGCTTGGGAATTAACTCAAAGTTGCAGTGCCCCATATAGTTCATGAAGTCGACGTAGGTTATGTATCCCGCAAGTGCTGCTATTGAAAGAGTCCCTGTGACCAACATGACTACCATTGGGATTGCAAAGAGAAGGAAATAAGAGATATGTTCTGCGAATGGATGAATCACAGCTGCCACATACAAGAAACAAAGGAAGTTAATGATATAATTGCATTTGATTAATATTAACATGCAAGGATATACAGATAGAATACTTAAGTAGAAGGTTCAGATCTCCATTACCTTTTGCCTACAAATTTATTTCCATTCAATGTATCCTATCACATGAGTATTCTCTCATGTATGGGTATTTATTAGGGATGATCATTTTTTATTTTAGTGAAATAATTTTAGGGATTTTTGGACCTCAGATATATTTTTTGCAGCCCCCTCCTAGTCTATTAATAACTCCCCTATAAACCATATCCTACCCATGAATTTAACATCAATCCATGAACAGATTCAATCCATCCCTAAAAAATCTTAGCAACACCTATGAGTGGACTGAATCATAAAAACCCCATAATTTTAACAACTTGGATTGACAAACCCAGATGCCTGACATCATCCCAAGACCAGACATATATTATAAGTCCTCAGGATGTACTCAAGCCGAGCTCCAATATTAAAGTAATGCCCTCAGATTAGAGAGTTTATCCTTCAGACACAATTGACTCCATTCTCTAGAAGTGCTAGTTTTAGACATGTGGCTATTCATAAAAAAATCCCACTTCAAAGGATGTAACAGTAACACCTATCTTATTCACTCTATTACTTCTGATAATATTAATTATTGAGGCTTAGTTCCAAACTGAGAATAAGAAAAAAGGAGTACACAAGAGGCATGAAAGCTTACAGACCTTCTTTCCAAGTTAGTTTTCTAATTCAAATAAAAGACCCAGTATAAAGATTTTTCATTGGTGTGGATCTATTATGTTGTTAATTATAAAATCAACCTGATTTAATCTTTTAAATCAAATAAAAATTTATATATCCAAAAATCAATAAAATAAAATAAAACCTAATAAGGTTCCTGGTGTAGTGGAGACTTTGGGATCAAATACCACTGCCACCGGGTTATGCAAATATGGGGGATGGGTAAACAAATAAAAAGAATAATTTTGTTGGGTAGGGTATGATAGTGTATCATGGGGTCTAATTGTATCTGTTGCACTTTACTGCACTTCATGTATGTATATTTATGATATCAATCAGCAAACAATAAACCCTAACAGTGATGGTTTCTTTTTAATAGTGAAACACTGATGCTCAAACAATTAATAAACACTAACAGTGATGGGTTTCTTTTCGATAGTGAATCACTGATTCTCAAACAATTAATAAACCCTAACAGTGATGAGTCTCTTTATGATAATAGTGAATCATTGAATGCAAGAAAAGCTTAGTTAATCAACATCTCCCTACTGGAAAAAGGGAGGCACTCTCCAAAACCTGGGCCAACTAGAGTTAAGAGATGTTAATGCATGTATAACATATATGTGATATATATGTGAAGCATATATAGAATCACATGCATGCATGACAGAGTTATTAGTTATTACATGTTATGGGCTCTGTAACAATGGAGGAATGATGATGGGAATGATAGCGGGAGTAGAGGATGTGATGGTGCAATGCTCTATGAAGCCAGTAGTAGAGGAACTCCACAAGACCCGCATGAAGGAGTGATGTAAGAAGTATGCCATCCCATCTAAACATTGGAATTCTAGACGCCCCAGGCAGCAGATTAATTGCAAGGTAGTATAGAATACCATTAAAAATGATCTGGTCATCCCTGCCACCATATATTTAGTTTCCTCGTCAAACAGCTAGCTGATGTTTTAAAGAATGTAATTCCATCAAGAGAAAACAGAATTAATAGGAATATATATTTATATATATATTAACCAGTTTCTTTCTCTGTCCACTTGTTCAAATTCGATTCCTTTGTGGACTATCCTGTGTTTGCTCTCCGCAGTCCTGTTACGAGCTAAGCTTATCCATATCTGGGCATGGAGCATCCTCCAGAGCAAAAATGGGAAGACAAGAGAGTAGCCCAAATCCCTCTCTTTTTCATCCTTGGTCACAAATTGATGAGTGCTGTGAACAGCCCACGGCGCCAAAATCACATACTACTTCAACCAGACAAAGAGAAAACAGAAGAAAGATTATTACTTGGACAAAGAAAGAAAAGAGGATAACATGAACATCCATTCAATTTGAAGCATGCACAAAACCAAAAACCAATAAAAACACAGACACAGTAGAGGAACTCCCACAGCTAATTCTGACTCAGAATCCATGCATAAAATGGAAATGCAATAGAATGAAGTGCCTACTTTGAAGTTTCCTAGCTTTTTCCATGGCCAGTTTGTTAGGGGACCTGGTCTTGAAGCCATCTTTTCTTCTTTAGACTTTTGGGTTAGCTAGTGAATAGCAGGGAGGCAGGCACCAGGTTAGGAATTTATAGTACCTACTGAGGAATTTAACTTGGTAAATTCCTACTGAGGAATTTATAGCCTTTTGGGTTAGCTAGTGTAATGGGACACATGTCACAGACTCGAAGGAAGAGTTAAAATTGCAGTAGATCTGGCCTATTTATTGCTGCTCCAAACAAAATTGCTGCAGCAATTATTTATATGGGTCTTAGGTTTGCAACGGTCTCTATTTGTCTTAGATTTATTTTCCAATCCATTGGTTTTGATGGCTTCCAGGAAAATGCTAAGAAAACTTAAGTATCATTACTTGTATTATGATCCTTTTTCTTTTGATTCGTCGGTACATTTGTGATGTGAGAAAGACAACACACAGGAATACTTTATTCGACAAGGTGCATGGCATTTGGTTGCTGGTAGTATGTTTATGGTATTCAGTAAGTTAATAATAAAAAAAGTAGTTTATAATTAGCAAATTCGTTTGCAGCCAAATACACATTAATTTGTCTTTGTTTTTTTACTTTCTATATATTGATGGTTAGTTGACATCAGTAAAAAAGCTACGTATCAGTAGAAGTAGAAGAGTATAGTGTTTTGTTCTTTTCCGCCGTTGATTGTTCCCTGATTGCTAGTGCACTTCCAAACGGGTTCTGTTTGGTATCATTGTTGTATCTACGTTCTATAATATTAAATGTTTTGTGTTAATGGGTACAATTTGGTGAAAAATATAGATTGTCTGGTCACATTTGAGTGTCATTTCAGCTTAGAAGAATGGTTAAATTAACTTAATACCATGAGCAAGAAAATCAATTTCACGTTTCTACAGTCTTTCACACATGAATTTTTAAGGAATATGTGTGCTATCTTTACTCCTTGAATGCATTCTATTGATGGTCGCATAATTAGGTTGGAAGTGGGTGGAAAAAATTTCAAGCCTTAATGCAATGCTACATATAGTTATGAATCCATCAGTTCTGCATCAGAAAATATTAATACATGTAATGGGGGGCACTTGTTAGTTGTTAGTCTCTACTACTGAATAATAGAAAAAATTTCGAACCCTTTCGCCCTGCCTCATGTATAGCGTACCTATTTCCAGTTGATATTATATGTATGGGTTTGGGCTGCTGTGCCAACGGGTTAAGACCGGCCCAATTCTAACCCGGTGGTAGATTGGGTCAGTGTGGGTTTACCACCTAACCTGACCCACTGACATTCCTAGTCCCTATTGATGTTACATGTTAGTAGGTCCGGTTAAATCAGGTCAGGGTACTAGTCAGCCTTATTTGGGCTGCTGACTTGCTGAGGTCAACTTATACCAAACCGAGCCTTTATCAAGTTATAAACAGAGCCTTTATCAAGTTATAAACAGAGCCTTTATCAAGTACTAGAGCAACATTTGTGGGATGAATACGGACCGGGTTTAATGCCTATTTTATTCAGTTGGGTCAGGTCGGATTGCTGAGTGGCTTTGGGTTGGGGTTAGACAAGATTCGTGTGAACACATAGATCCAGTTGACAATCCTATAACTGAGTGGCTTTGTGTTTTTAATTTTTTTTTTTTTTTGTCTGAATGGGGTGCAGAACAGACGATTGGACCGTTCAACCACGGGAACCAGATCAAGAAGGATTATTTGTCCGGTCTGATTTTAAAAACCTTGGTCTTAACTTTTAATTTACTTCTTATGCTTGTACATATTTTCTCTTGTTTTTAATGAACCCATATACCTTACCACTTAAAAGTAAAAGGCTTGTAGTTATCTAATGAACCGGTCTGGTAGTGAAATAGGTAAGATTGGCTTGGCAGAGTGCATTTATGAGTGTATAATATATTCTACTGTAATATAGATTGATTCAGTTTGAAAAGAATACATATACAAAATATAAGGTTTTGCATTCTGCATATCCTTCCAAATTGAGCCATTGTAGTAAATGCAAGAAAATCAACTTTTAGGCTCAGTTTGAAAGGAGTATTAATACAAATATGTAAAGTATAAAACTTTATATTTTGTATTAATTTGTACATATTTGTATTGTATATATTTGTATTTGTACTGTCTCCAAACTTACAAATGTAAATATGTAAAACGCAGAATCTTGTATTTTATATTATTTTACTTGTATTTGCACTGTATAAATTTGCACTTGTACTCCTTCCAAACTGAGCCTTGTACAAATTTAGTGACAAGGACAAATAGGTTTTATAAGCGATGACTTGTGACTAGAACCAGCAGGGAGTTGAGTACATATCTAAAAGATTGCTCATAATATAGCATTCTCTCTTATTTAGATAGTATTTGGTATTGATGTAGCTTTTGGAAGCAATGTGTCAGTTCAGCATTATGGTGCCTGGAGGCGCTGAGGTATAAAAAATTGTACATAACGTTTAAAGCAGATTTGGTCTCATTTTTTAAGACAAAATGGTACAAAATGTTTATTTTATAAATGGATGGATACCAAACCACCACTTAATTGGTTGAAGGAATCTTATTTTCTACAAGACAACAAAAGAGTCCTACTATGGTCGAGTTAAGTCACGGTAAAAGCTATTGACAATAAATCTTTTGACTGTTTTCCGTTAATTTGGACATTACTTCTAATGATGATGCAGCTCGTCTATTACCACCTAAAGGTAGTTCTGGGATTCCTCTGAATGGAGAAACTGAGGCCGGATCTGCTCCTTGCACTATGCGTCTCACACCAACCTCACAGCATGTCCTGGCCGCATATAGGGAATATTTCCCGTCCTTGAATTGATTATTCATGAGGAGAAGTTCCCAATACATGATAGGATGTGGCTGTGAAGTTGGTGTGAAGCATGCTATGTGAGGGGCAGATCCCAATTCAGAGAACCCCCCCCTTTGGTTGATAATCTTTGTTTTGAGTTTGTTGGCCTGTTTTTTGTTTTTGCTTTTTGTATTCTTCTTTTTTCTCTTTCCCTCTTTTACTTTTTTGCATTTTGCTTCTATTTCTAATAAAAAAAAGTTATCATAAAAAAACCTCATTTTATAGGGATTGATGTAAGAGGGCAACTTACCAAATTTAAGGGGAAGAGGGTGTATGAATGTATTGTGACTTTCAAGTTAGATTTTGTCTAATGGAAATGAATACTGTTAGAAGAAAGACCTCTCATATCATGGGAATTGACATTAGGGGTGCAAGTCGAGTTGGCCTGAGTTAACAATTTACATTGTTTCAAGCTCGGGCTTCGAGTTGGGCCCATTGAAATTTTGATAACATCCCAACCCTAACCCAGAAAAGTTACATTCCTAATTGACATCACAAGTTAGCAACTTATCAATTTACCTAAGAGGGTACGTGGTTCATAGGAGGTTGGATCTCCTAGCCACAAGGATCCTAATCGGACCTATCCATAGGATAATAAAACTATACATTGGGAATATCTTCCGTATTTATATATTACCATTCATGGGGAATGTTCCCAATATACAACTGTAGTGTTGGTAGGTAAGTGTGGATAGGATTCTTGTGGGTAGGAGATCCAGATTGGGTTCACTGAAACGTGCTTTTAAGATAAAGTTTGAAAATCAAACTTAACGGTAGCATTTAACAAAAGGGATAAGTAGACTGTACTCCCTCTTAGAAATATGAAATTATAGCCACCTCCTAGTCTACTTGTAGCCCCCTATAAACCACATCCTGCTCGTGGATTTGACATCAATTCACGATCAAGATTCATTCCACCTCTAGGGTGGATCTAAGATTTCTACGGGTGGACTGAACAGTTAAAACCCCTTAACAAAAACAATTTAACTAACATTTTTATTTTTATGATTTCTAGCCGTAAGGGCAACTTTTTGCCCTTAATATCAATAAAAATAATATTTCTATATAATAACCGAAATGAGATATCTTTTTTTTTTTGAAAAATATCAAATAAGGGCATTCAACTTCCTCATCTAGTGGCTTCTCCGTTAACGGTTGCCATCGATAACTCTAAGTCGAGTGAACTATTGGACAGTTTTTGTATGCCCTTAGCTTCAATCAGTTTTGATGTACTTTTGATATTTAATGTAAATAAATGAAGTACATGTTTGATTCATGTTGTGTGGTATA